CCACAGGCCCCAAAGCAGCAGAACCAACAGGCCATGGACTGAAACCTCCAAAAATATAAGCCAAAACAAGCCTTTCTTCTTTTCAAGTTTTTTTTTTTATCTCAGGTATTTTGCCACAGTAACAGAAAGCTGACAAACACAAGCTATATGCAAAAAATTTATAATGTAGCATGTCTGAATTTGGGAGATTTTAATACCTAAGGGAAGAAAACTTTAATACATAGGGGCACTAAAGTCATTCCAATGATTGAAAACTAAGGCAAATGTTGCCATTTTGGACTTACCTTTCCTTTAGGTAAAAATGATGGTCATATATATAATGGGGGTTCTGGAGTTGTTTGGAGTGGAATGTCTTTGAGGGCAAAAAGAATGACTTCTACAAAGTGGGTACAGGAAGGAGAAGGAATGGCACCCAAATGGAAATGAGATGCATCCTCACTGCACCCTGCTCAGCCCAATAGAAGATCACAAACACTGTATGAGCAATACAATCGAGGGCTTGGGCCTTTAGGAGGGAAAGTATGTGGGCTCCCAACCAGGGAAAAAACTCCAATCAGGTACTAGCAGGGCAAAGCAAGAAGTATATGAAATGGGTAGTAAACAAGCAGAATCATAAGTACCAGCTACTACTACTTTGGAACCAAGATACAGGAATAAGAACTAAAACTCCTACCTGTATTTCTTTCTTTGCAGTGACACATATTACTTAAATTATTCCTCATTATTGTATGCAGGATGTGTTTATGGCATTTAAATTTACCATTGGATCTGGAAATTTTGGAACACAAAGCTAAGACAGAAACAAACCAGAGGAAGATGGGACTTTACCCAGTGGATCTAGATTCGAGGAGGGATACAGTAACTCAGGGAGTTGCTATGGGTTGAACTTTTGTGTCCCCCAGGATACTGATGTTGAAACCTAATCCCTAAGGTGACAAGTGTTGAGAGGTAGAAGCCTTTGGGAGGTGATTAGATGATGAGGGTAGAACCCTCACGAAGGAGATCAGAGCCCTTGTCGTAGAGGACCTGCTTCCACCACAGCAAACAGCCTGCTGAGGACACAGCAAGGAGGTGCCATCTGTGAGGAATGAGTCCTCGCCACACACCAAATCTGCCAGCACCTTGATCTTGGACTTCCAGCCTCCAGAACCAAGGCAAATAAATATTTATTATTTATAAGCCACCCAGTTTGATATTTTTGTTAAAGCAGCCTGAACAGATTTAAGACAGAGGCTTGGTCTTTATAAAGAAAAATGTTTTCTTCAAAATTGAGGCCAAGCATGGTGGGGTAACCTGGAATGGCAGCTACTTGGAGGCATTCCAGGTTGCACCTGGAATGTGCAAGGAGGATCATTGAGTTCAAGGTCTCCCTGGTCAAAGTAGTGAGACCCTGTCTCAAAATTTTAAAAATACCACACACACACACACACACACACACACACACAGAGAGAGAGAGAGAGAGAGAGAGAGAGAGACAGAGAGAGAGAGACAGAGAGAGAGAGAAACAGAGGCATTATGTTAGTTGAAGATTATTTTAATAGTGAATAAAAAGATAGAATGAGAGTATATGTGAATTTGGGAGTCACTGTAAGGGAAGAAGATAGGTCTCACTGTCGATGGCAAAGAGTAATAATGCTGTAAAAAAGTGACTAAACAAGAAAGCAGTTTGACTTACCATAATTGTTTGGACACCTAAGGTAGATGAGGGGATTCAATGGGTCAAAGTCAGATAATTTACTACTAGTAGTTCAGCAAATAGCAGGAGCACAAGGCAGGCCCAGTTGCCCTGACCCAAGTAACCTAGTGGGCCCAGGCCATGGCTACACCAGCAATGGGCTGCAGTGCAGCTGAGAGCCTGGGATTATAGCAAACATTAGTTGAACCAGATCCCTCCCTGGGAGAGTAAGAAGTCAGCAGGTAACCATGCTGTGGCTGCCTTGACCTCCTTAATTGCCTATGTGACTAGCTACAAATATAGTTCAGGGTCAGAGGACAGTTAGGTCTTGAAATTCAGCATACTTAGTAAGGATGTGTAGAGATGTACACGAGGCCATGGCAGACCATTTCCATAAAAGAAACAAAGGTGAGTGCAGTGGATACTTGTTATTATTAGCAACCAGACACCCATTCCTGTTTGTTCTCTTATAACACTCTTGAGGAAAACAATTGGCCTGCTGAAGCATTTGATGTGATGATCAATTAGCTGCCTCTCCCTGATTCCCAGACCCATTCTGGTGTCACTGCATTCTAAGACTGACTCTTCAGTTGTCCGTTTGGTTCTGTGAGTCAACCCATATCCTTCCATTGGGTTTAAGTTAGTTACAGTCAGTTTCTTTTACTTGCAACCAAAGCATTCTGATATCAAATGATATCTGTTCTCAAAGAGTTTGCAGTTTCACCAAGGAGACAGGCATGTAAACAAATAACTACAATAAGGTGAGAAATGCTATAATACAAGGCACACACAGGGCACATAAGTAATACAGAAAAGCTCTGTCAACAAGGAAAAGTATCTTGAGGGCAATGGAGAGAAAATGCAAGGGAAAGTGTCTTTGGTAGATGCAACATCATTGCAGTATCTAAAAACATGTTGCACTTAAGCCGGGAATAGTGGTGCACACCTGTAATCCCAGTGGCTCCTAGTGGTTTAGGAGCCTGAAGCAGGAGGATTCACAAGTTCAAAGCCAGCCACAGCAATTTAGTGAGGTCCTAAGCAACTCAATGAGACCTTGTGTCTCTGATAAAATACAAAAGAGGGCTAGGGATGTGGCTCAGTGGTTGTGTGTCCATGAGTTCAATCCCCAGTACCCCAAAACATCAAACCAAACCAATCCAAAACAAAACCAAACAACAATAAACATGGTGTACTTAGGAAACCATAATAAATTTGGTGTTATGGGAGCATAAAGTTCAAATGAAATAATGAAATGGTGTCCAGTGGAAAGACTGAAATATTGGCAGGGTCCTGGTCATTTCATGTCAAAGAGTTCAGTTTTATTGAAGTGAAGTTCTGGTTATATGTGTGTTTCAGAAAGGTTGCTGTGTTAGAGGTGTGGAAAGGGGATGGACTGGGAAAAGCCTAGAGGAATATTAAGAGTGTGGGCTTTGAAGACTGGATTCAAGACCTGGCTTTGCTACTTACTACCTGTATGTAATCTCAAGAAAGTTGTTTAGTCTCTCTGTGCCCACATGTATCACCTATAAAATGTAATGAGTAGCTACCTCCCAGTGAGTTGTGGTGTATACTGAGTGATAACTGTACAGCCTTAGCATAGTGTTAGGCACATAGAAAGTTTCTAATAAGCTATTATTGTTATGGTGATGATGGAGCCTGGGAGACCAATTAGGATAATCTCAACAGTCTAGCTGAGAATTGATATAAGCTTAAACCCAAGCCACAGAAATGGGGCCAGAGACCCTTTAAATGTTTATACACATACCATGTTCATAGGGTATTCATACAATTTATCCATACAGGAACAATTAGGAGATAAATAGATATACAGTAATAGTAGGACAATAGACATAAATTGGGAATTACAGGAACCTTCCACATTAGTCCCTTCTCATTTCAGCTTCTAAATGTCTCTCACCAGCACCAACAATGCTCAGCTTATTTGATTATAATATGTCAAAGGAAATTTGTTATGTTTGTATTTTTAACAGAAGCAGGAAGAAACCCACAACCATTAGGCATCCCCTCAGCTATCTCTTCTGGCTCAGTCTAGCCTGGTTTTACCACTCAGCCCAACTAAGCAAGCACAAGAGGGAGGGAAATCGAGTTATTTCTCTCTGCATCACTCAGGATGTGAACTACAGGAAGGCAGACCTTCCAGCCTTTATTTGTACATTAAGTGGCTCAAACATCATGTCAGCTTTAATGGCTTTGCTCTGTCTCCAAAACAGAGCTCTATATTTCTCCTATACCCTCCCTAATGACGTAACTTGACCTTCTGTTGTGTCTTCTCTGATATAACACATTCAGCATCAGGTACAGTGTCTGACACAAACAGGAACTTGATAAATACTTATTGAATAGTGTGCTGGCATTTTCTTTGTTGTTGTTGTTTTGTTTTTAACACTTTCTTGGCTTTATTCACAAACACAGTTGCACAAAAGTATTAACCTCAAAGTTTTAAAGGAGAGATTGTTGAAGAACTTAACATAGTTTGTACATACTGCTATACAACAACCATTAAAATATGACCAAACTTCTACAAAATATTAAACCCTCTTACCACCCACAAAGCTAAATAAGTTCTTAAAAGTTATCTGGAGGTTCCTTAGGTGTTGTTCTTAAACCAAGTATTTCTAATTTTGATTGCACAATAAGATAATTGATAAGAAAGTCAATATATAGATTTCGTTTAAAAAATAAGTATTTTATAATCTGGCATAGTATGTAATGAGTATTCTTAGAGACTAAAGCAAGGTATATCAATTGTTAAAATTAGGAGAAAAATGCCATTTTTGTGACTTTCTGATCCGCAGTGTGCTGGAATTTTCTGAATAAATATTTCTTACTTGTTCAGAGGGTGGCCAAAACTCCTGCCCCAACCCCAATATGCAAAGACACAATGTCACTCAGTCTACTTTCATTAGGTCCTGGATAGAAATATGATAGTCAATTCGATTGGGGCTTGTAGTGATACATAGGTAACATCTTCCTTCCCAGAAGCCATGTCTTCATTAGCAATCTAAGTCTTCATGGCCCAGGATGACCCTTTACACCTTTTACACTAATACAGGGAGTGGGGAAATGAAGACTCAATTTTTTACTCGAGATAAGTAGGGTCACACAGAGGTATCTCCCAGTTGGCCACCATCATCCTCTGGATTTCTTTAACTTTGAGTTTGTAGCCAAGCCCTTCCTGTGTACCTACTTATCCCTTTGAGAAAGGAAGTTGCTTTGGGGTTTCAACTCTCTTACCTCTCATTTCCCACAGAGCAAGCTCCTGTTCCCCAGCCTAGAATCTCCCCATGGAACAACCAACAAACAGTGAGGGACTCACATGGAGGTTTATTGGTGGAAGTACAGCAGCACGTTGTTATTAACTCCATCTTACCCCACCCATGTCTCTTGGCACCGTGGTGAACAGCCTTAGAGGCTACACAGACACCAAGGATGATCACCCCATTTTAGCTAGGTGTCAGGGGCCCAGAAAGTTCTCTCCTAGGGAACTGGCTACAGGAACCTGTAGGAAATGCTCGTCTGGATCTTCTTGTTCCCAGAGGCTGTGGTTCAAGGTGGCTCTCATGGGTATATTCAAGTTGAATGGAGATGTCACCAGTGAGGGTTTCTTATAGCTGTGGCAACTGCCTATTTCAATGGCAGTTTGGGTGTTTCTATGGGAAACCAGAAATGTCAGGGTCATTGAAAGCAATAGAGAAAAAAAAAAACATGGTTAAAATTCTACTTTAATTATGCCAGGCCTATAATCCCTGTGACTTGGGAGGCTGAGTCAGAAGGATTGGAAGTTCAAGACCAGCCTAGGCAACTTAGCAAGACTCTGTCTCAAAAATAAAAAATAAAAAGAGTTGGGGGTGCCAGGCACTGTTACATACACTTGTAATCCCAGTGACCTGGGAGACTGAGACAGGAAGGATTGCAGGTTCAAAGTCAGCCTCAGCAACTTAAGCAAGATGCTGACTCTAAAAAAAAAGAGCTGTGAATGTGGCTCAGTGGTGATATAGATGATTAAGAGAAAAACATAGAAACTATAAAAGAACACTGAAAAGAAAGTAAAAACTGCTCACACTGTGACTATTCAGAGATAAATGCAATGAGTTCTTTTAAGTGAAGATAATTTTAGAATTTAGTTAAAAGCTAAAAACTGGCAATACGGCTAAAATATCTAAAGGCCTCTTTGCTACAAAATACCTGGATAAAAGATACGAAATGTAATTTTAAGTGCATTATTGAGTTTACAAATCAAATAATCCCAGGAACCCCAAATACCCAACCAGAGAAGGGAGTATGAAGTGGGCTGCCAGTGGGACTCTCCAGCTTTGGGAATCAAGGGCTGGCCCTGTGCCCAGGGCGTCGTTTGCAAAGAATGACTGGCTAAAGGGAGGGCCTTCCTGAGGCCACCCAAAAGCTGGAGCTGTGGTCCTAAGATCTGGAGACACTTTAGATGGGGCACATTTCAGACCAGGCACAGGGAGGGCAGGAGAGATGAGACAGGGGCTTCTTTCTTTGTGCAGTAACAAGATACTACTATCAAGGAAGCACGGTCCTCCTCCAAGTGGCTGGTCATTGTACAAGAGGACATTTCCTGAGGACCAGATGTGGGGAGTATCAGCCAGAGACACACAGACAGATGGTATACCAGCATGAAGCAGTTGCAAGTCCTACCCAAGAGGGCACGCTGACAACTAGTGCTTGGTGACAAGGACATCTGTAGAGCCAGACCCTGAGGGAAAGGAGTGGCCATATACAAGGGAGATATCACAATATTTCCAGAGTTGCAATTAAAGAGAGGGACTCTAAAGAACCCAAAAGCTGCAGGAAGTGGCTCACACATATAATTTCATACTTGGAAGGCTAATAGGAGAAAGGTAAGTTCAAGGCCAGCAACTTAAGCAAATTAGCTTAAGTTGGCAGTTTGGGTATATCTATGCGAAACCAGAAATGTCAGGGTCATTAAAAGCAATAGAAAAAAAAACAAACTGGCAACTTAGCCAGACCCTGTCTCAAAAATGAAAAATTTTCAAAAAGGATGTGGCTCAGTGGGAGAGCACTTGCCTAGCATGCTCAAGGTCCTGAGTTTGATCTCCCGTACTGGGGAAGAGGGGGACAAAGGAAGGGAGAAAACAAGCTCCTAAGAGTCACCTTAAAGCATTAGAAAGAGTGAC